GATAGAGCACCGCGCTACACAGCCAGAAGATATGAATGACGATTCTGCTGTGCTTTTTGTTACACACAATATAAACTGTATAATTGTTATACTTTTAACACCTCCGCAATAATAAATGCCGTGGAGCTGGGGGAGACGAACTGGAACACGACGATCATGGCCGCGGAAGCACATCATCAAAAGGCAAGCACGACTGCGAGAGAGAGAGAGAGAGAGAGAGAGAGAGAGAGAGAGAGAGAGAGAGAGATGAGAGGGCGGCAGAGCAGCGCAGGCAGCCAGGCACTCGCGCGCGGAGGTGGAATGCAAAACGAGAAAACGAAACCTCATCATTCTGCTCTCCGCCGAGCTCTGCTGCTGCGACGCCGCCGTCTTGGCGGTAATAATGAGAAATGGACTCCTTGATCTGACTTCATTTAGAGGGGCAGAGAGAGACGGGCTGCTCTTCGCTTCGCTCCGGGCGTGCTCGTGCGTGCTCGCGCCCTGCCCACGCCGCTGCACCGCCGAGGCTGGCTGGCTCTCTCTCGTCTGTTTCTTTCCTCTCTAAACATGAAATATGATGATTGTGATCGGGTCTGGTCCATGCGGCCTCTCCGCCATATACTCTTAATGAGGCGACAAGTTGGCAAAAGAGCAACGCGGGGTCATATAATTGATCGGCAAATAAGATCCAAAAATGAGCAAAAACTTGATGGTTTGATGATGTAGCGAGATGCAAACAGTTGGATGGGGCAAGAAGGGTGAGTTTGTAGTGAGAGTGATGAGAGGGTGTCTGATGAAAAGTAGCGGATTTAGAGAAGGGGCGGCGCATGCCAGGTGGGTGATAAGCCATCGATAGCTTACAGAACGTGCATGGAAATGAGCAAGAGAGGGAGGATAGAAGGATGCCATGGTATTTGTACCCCCGCCTGGTCTGTGTTCGACCCCTCGGGCCCCACATCCCCCGCCGGACCCTTGGCCGCTTGCTGCCCGTGGTGCGGGCGATGCAGGCCGCCGCCGTCCTGAACGCCCCGCGGGCCCCGGGCGCGCCACACACCGTGACGTCTTCATAGTCCAGATCACATGATCGACAGCAGCCGGGTAATTACCGGCCAGGCCAGGTGGTCCGGGCGGGTGGGTAACAGGTGAATGGGGTAACAGCAAGAGGGGAGGAGGGTAAAGTAGGGTAATAACATTAAAAGGGGCCGGTGTAAAGTGGGCAGGGTAAGTCCTGGTGACTCACGCCGCCACCACCGCTGCTGGACACAGCTCGACAATGCGAATTCCGCGCGCAGCAAAACAAAAACACGTAAGGAGCAGAACAAAGACGCATGGCAGCTTGGAGAGCGGGGAGGAGGGGGGGGGGG